TACCTGAAAATTCTTTGTAAGGGACGCTAATAGCGGTCACAAGAGCACCTGTTATAGGCGCTTGGGGCTCAATAAGCCCAATATAGGCACCTTTCGGTAAGAAAACCGAGCAAGATAGGGCAGAAACCAGAGGCCTAAATGGGCAGTCCTAGAAGTCCGAATACCCTCCGTAACCTATACCTTTGAACGAACCCTAAAATGTAAACCCTTGGACTGACCAGTGGAGAAATGCCCTTTATGGTGCTCGTCTACCGTCTCCGGGCGCATTGTAAACGCCACGTAAGTGAAAATCCGAGGCAGTTGCGTGTCAACAGAGCGGTGCGCACAGTTGTATATGGCAAAATGTTTGACTTTGCTCGGGCCCTAAACGGTACTAGAAACGATTAGCGCTCGATTGCCGTCATTCAGTACTATTCGACACCCACGCGCCATTATCCGCACACACTTGGGACCAGTGAAGTCGCACTGCAGGTGAGTTTCTTGTTTTTCTTTTCTCAGCTGTTTTATCGTCTGGGTAGACGACAATCGCCCGGTGTTGTTCACGTCCTGCCTCTGGGGATTTTTGCGAGATACGACTCGCCTTGCAGATTACTCTTCTGGTACGACTTTACCCCTTCCTCCTACCATCTTCCCTGGACTTCCTACGAATTTTTCGGAGTCTTTCCGAATAATTCCTCCACTATATCCCCCCCCCCCCCCCGCCCCAAAAAGAGCTGCCTCTAATCGGGGGGACCTTGTAGCGCAACATCCAAGCACGCAAGAACCGAGAAAATTGTAACAAGATCAACAGCCGGCGCAAATCAGTAACTATTCCTTTCAAGCGACCTAAGCGCCCATAATTCGACCCCCTACTCTCTCGCTGAGATCCCCAACCCAATGTTGCCGATCAACAGGCGTGCCCAAATTGTTTAATATCGAACGACACTCGCACACAGGAGCTCGAACTGCCCCCCCCCAACGAAAAACATCTTACCCAATGGGTTCGAAGATGAGAGTCAAATGTTGAGTGTGGATGTCAAATTTGAGTAAAATTATAATTTACTTTTATAGATGGTCGTCACAACGATCTCGTTGGGAGGTGTTGAAGGCGTACTGTTTAAGACGTCAGTTTCAACCCTGACCGCAGTCAAAGGTAACTACTTCGACCGACTACTTCAGAATGGCTGGAGAGATCACCTTGATAAGGTTACTGTTATTAACGAATGTCGGTTCTTTTTTCTATGATCACATCGATCCGACGTCGGTGCTGACCAGTTCTGATCGAAGTGTAATTACCTGGAGCAAAACTCCTTATCTCTCTCAGGATTCCAAGATTTATCAGGAGGGGCAGTCTACGATTTCCTCAGTGGTGCAATCCCCCTAGCGCTCGGGCCACCCTTAGTGCCAAAGGTGCTCGCTATAAACGCTGCATGGGGAATGGGGGCTACCCTTGTTCGCGTGCTCTTTCGTCCTTGATCGTCTGGCCTCTCTTACACGCATTCGGTGTTTCTTCGTTAACGCTCGTAAGGCACTTAAAAATCACTCCATGGAGAAGGGCCTCAAGGGAGAAGAGCCAGAGAAGGGCCTGGCCTTCTCTGCTATTTCTTTCATTTTTTCCCTTTGCTAAGGAATTACCTAGCACTCATAGAACTCATATAAGAGCTTCACCACCCAGATCTAACAATCGTATGAGCATTTTTTCTTGAATAAATATCTATCGAACCGCGCGAGCTCTTTCGTTGGTGCTAATGACCCTATACAATATTTGTTATTTCTATAAATTGCAATAAACTATCTAGCACGGTCATCTTTTCATCGATCGCGACGCGACGATTTTCCCGTTGATCTTGAATTATCTACGAGATGGCAGCATTCCTTTACCACGTGACGAGTATTACTTGGAAAGAATTCTCCGAGAAGCAAGGTAATGAAGAAATTTCACTCATTTTACAAACTAGCTATCCAGTACTCTATAAATCTTTGACAGTTACCACATACTCTTTTCTTCGTTGCTAGATTCTTCAAATTACATGGTCTATCACGTGACATAGAGAAAAGGATGGAATATGTTGGAAGACAGAAAACCCGAGAAGCACCGAAACCACCGTTGGTTCTTTTTTCAAGCTATGATGACACTATCTTCTTTTATTTTTTTCGATTCAATACTTAAAGGCAGCGCCCGCGTTCATTTGATGTTCCTACGCCCTCCTTAGATATCGTAGCTTTGTCGACAAGGGTGGAGGATGTACTAATTCGCAGCTCAAAAATACGAGAGGA